CCCCCCCCTGATAATTTTCTTTAAAAAAATCATGTATTTTCACCATTTTCCTCAATTTTTCCCCACATGGAAACCCCCCAGATAGATATCTGGATCCGCCACTGGTTACTCACATCTATGAACTCGAAGCAGCCATCGTTCAGTTGTTTAAGCTGATAAGACGGAGATCATAAAAACACCATGACAGAGTCATGTATGACATGACCACTCGTCTTAGCATTGAAAGGAGAACGACGATAGTTTTCACACAGAGCAGGATAGAGGACACCGATATTAGAAGGTGACTGTTAGATACAAGCAGAAGACTATACTCAGACGGAATTGTCAACAGTTGTAGCAGCTACAAGGATAAGACATTCCGTTATGGATCAATTCCTCAAAGTAGATAGTCATTGGAAATGTGGATCCGACGTTTCCATAGCCAAAACTTAAACCAGCACGCGGGAACCATCAGCATAACAGCAAGAATGCCTATGCCGAGAGTGATGCTCACCACACCTGGAGCACGTTCGAGGTTGTTAGATGTACTGAAACGACGAAGTATCAAGTTTTATTCGAACTTTAGGCCATTGGCCCATCAGTATACAATACATATTATACACAAATCATGGACAATGTACAGAGAATGAAGACAATCATATTCCGTTCATAGATGAATTTTCCTAGTATACACAATTCTTTAATATTATGGACACTCAATAACTGAACGGCTTTAAACACAGATATTTTTTTCCAATAATAGCTTTTGATAAAACGTGATCTGAGATTTTGAAATTAAGAACAGACTAATAAACAAGAGGCCCAATGGGCCTGAATCGCTCACATGGTATTAATCTCACACTTGTAATCTTAAAACTGGACTAAATTACAGCTACAGGCAGAATATCAGTGTTTGAATCATAAGAACCTATTAAAAGATTTAAACATATGACGCCTGTGACCTTGAATGTCGGACAAGGACATTAGGTTGAACAGAGTTTAAAGTCTTCCAACCCAGCATGCTTTTGGCAAAATATCATAACCCTGGACCTATTGGTTATACAGAACAAGCCATTTAAAGATTTAAACATATATTTACCACTGTGACCTTGAATATGGGCGAAAGTCATTCATTTTGACAAAATCGGTAGCCCTTCATCCCAGCCTGTTAATGACCCAATAATCATCACCCTTGGGCTTTGGCTAATTTAGAAGAAGTCGTTTAAAGGTTTGAAACATATTTGACACCTGTGACCTTGAATATATGTAATGGTCATTCATTTGAACAAACTTGATAGCCCTTTATCCCAGCATGCTACTGGCCAAATATCATTATCCTAGGCCTCTTTGTTATTCAGAAGAAGTTGTATAAAAGTTTTAAACATATTTGACCCCGGTGACCTTGAATATAAGGAAAGATCATTCATTTGAATAAACTTGGTTGTCCTTTATCCCAGCATGCTACTGGCCAAATATCATCATCCGAAGACTTTCGGTTATTGAGAAGAAGTTGTTTAAAGGTTTTAAACATATTTGACCCCTGTGACATTTAAAATAAGTAAAGGTCATTCATTTGAACAAACTTGGTAGCCCTTAATCACAGCAGGCTACTGGCCAAGTACCTTAACCCTAGGCTTCTTAGTTATTCAGAAGAAGTTGTTTAAAGATTTGTTAAGACAATTGACCCCTGTGACCTTGAAAATGGACGAAGGTCATTCATTTGAACAAACTTGGTAGCCCTTAATCACAGCAGGCTACTGGCCAAATACCTTAACCCTAGGCTTCTTAGTTATTCAGAAGAAGTTGTTTAAGGGTTTTTAACATATTTGACCCCTGTGACCTGGAAAATAGGTGAAGGTCATTTATTTGAACAAACTTGGTAGCCCTTCATCCTAGCATGTTACTGGCTAAATATCATTATCCTAGGCTTCTTAGTTATTCAGAAGAAGTTGTTTAAAGGTTTTAAACATATTTGACCCCTGTGACCTTGAATATAAGTCAAGGTCATTCATTCGGACAAACTTGGTAGCCCTTCATCACAGCATGCTTCTAGCCAAATATCATCATCCTAGGCCTTTTGGTTATTGAGAAGAAGTTGTTTAAAGGTTCTAACATATTTGACCCCTGTGACCTTGAATATATGTACAGGTCATTAATTTGAACAAACTTAGTAGCCCTTCATTCTAGCCCATTACTGGCCAAATAACATTAGCCTAGGCCTCTTAGTTATTCAGAAGAAGTTGTATAAAGATTTTTAAGACAATTGATCCCTGTGACCTTGAAAATGGACGAAAGTCATTCATTTGAACAAACTTGGTAGCCCTTCTTCCCAGCATGCTACTAGCCAAAAATCATCACTCTGGGCATTTTGGTTATTCAGAAGAAGTTGTTTAAAGTTTTTAACATATTTGACCCCTGTGACCTTGAAAATAGGTGTAGGTCATTTATTTGAACAAACTTGGTAGCCCTTCATCCTAGTTTGATTCTGGCCAAATATCATCACCCTAGGCCTTTTGGATATTAAGAAGAAGTTGTTTAAAGTAAAATATTGACGCCGGACGCCGGATGGACGGACGGACGGACGACGGACGCTGCACCATCACATAAGCTCACTTGGCCCTTCGGGCCAGGTGAGCTAAAAATGAAATTCGTCCTCTACTTCAGAGGGGGAGTTACACTGTTTACAATATCTAGCTATATTATTATACCTTCCAACTTCTACATCCAAAGAATGCGTAGATGTACGGATTCGAGTTCAAATATCAACTTTGGTAAAAATCTTTAACAATCTTCTTCTCAAGTTCCATAAGGCCCAGGGTCATGATATTTGGCCAGTAGGTAGCTGGGATGGAGTGCTATAAAGTTTCGTCATTAAAATGACCTTGACCTACTTTCAAGGTCACAGCAGTCAAATATGTGAAAATTTTCAAACAACAATATCCTAAGAACCATTTGAACTAGAGTCATGATACTTGGGTATGTTGTGTAGACCATCAGTGTTAATGTTTCTCTCGGTTACAGTTATGAGGTCAAAGGTCAAATTTAAATGCTAGTCGGGGGTTCAAATGTCAACTTTGGTTAAAATCTTTAACAATCTTCTTCTCAAGTTCCATAAGGCCCAGGGTCATGATATTTGGCCAGTAGGTAGCTGGGATGGAGTGCTATAAAGTTTCCTCATTAAAATGACCTTGACCTACTTTCAAGGTCACTGGGGTTAAATATGTTAAAACTTCAAACAACAATATCCATTTTGAGTAGTGTCATGATACTTGGGTATGTTATGTAGACCATCAGTGCAAATATTTTTCACAATTACAGTAATGATGTCAAAGGTCAACTTTAAGTGCAAGTTGGGGTCAAATGTCAACATGAGTCAAAGGCTTTAACAATCTTCTTTTCAATTTCCATAAGGCACAGGGTCATGATATTTGGCCGGTAGGTACCTGGGATGAAGTGTTATACATTTTCATCAATAAAATGACCTTGAACTACTTGGGTATGTTATGTAGACCAGCCGTGTGAATTGTTTTCTTTATTACAGTAATGAGGTCAAAGGTCAACTTTAAGTGCAAGTTGGGAGTCAAAGGTCAATACGAGTTAAAAGCTTTAACATTAAAATTTCAAGTTTCAAACAACAATATCTTCAGAACCGTTTAAGAGATGTTAAAATGACTTGTGTTCTAGTTACCAAATTTGGTCTTAAGTTACCTATATGTCAGTTGCATGAAACAAAAGAAACAGGTGAGCGATACAGGCCCTATGGGACTCTTGTTACATTTAAGTTTAATGATGAACACTTTGAAAATAGTGCAAACATAGCTTTTCGTCCTTGGATAGCCAATTGTTTTTGGATAGAAGTGAATTTATTATTGTAATTTAGAATAACACCTAGGTAAGGAAATTGATCCACACATTCAACTTTACTTCCTTTTTAATACCATTTTTCATCATTATGTAATCTGCCACCTTTTCTAAAAACTACAATTTTTTTTTTTTTTCCGTATCTACAGTTAAACTCCATTTTGTAGAGTATTCAAAAAGGCTATCAAGAAGAGTCTGCAGACCCTGTACAGATTCCGAAAAAATAACCAAATCATCTGCGTACATTAACAGAAACTTAACTCACCGAAGTCGTAATATGTTGCAACTTTTTCAATAAAGGACATTTCAAAATCATTGATATAAAGTGAAAACAGCAATGGTGACAAAATTTCCCCTTGCAATAAACCGACATTGTTTTCAAAAAAGTTAAGAGCATTTCCCATTAATTGAAACACAGGATTTGACTGATTTATAAAGCGACTTAATAACAGACAACATTTTCCCTCGAATACCAGGCCTAGTCAACTAAGTAAGGAGGAGGAGGATCTCCCAGAGGACAGGAACTGACAGCTGACAAAGGTTTAAAGGTAGGAAGCGATCTGATATAGTTCTCGTGTCACAGTCAGATAATACAAGTGTCGTTACTGATAAAAAGAAAACAGAAGAATAAAGTTGGCTAGACAGATATTTTAATGTTCTATTGACAAGTGTTATGCATGTATAATAATGACAAATAACTCTTACAATCAACAATAAAATTCAAGTAACCTCAAAATATGTCATGATCACTTATTTATAATGCAAATTGTGGGCATATAGGTTACATTCCATCTCGTGGGTTAATCTGTGTGACCACTCGATGCACTTTTCTGCTGTGCAGAGCGAACATCTAATAACAAATCAATTATAATGTAAAAGTGGAAATTTTCGCGTGTGGATATGTTCACATTGTGACCCTTTAAACCGATCGCGGTGTTGATATTTTCGCGTTCTGAAATCTCTATATTCCATTTATCTATAATTACATAGTTCCGTGTGGATATTTTCGTGTCAATCCACTCAATGCGAAAATTTCCCCTTTTACAGTATGTTGTACACATGAATACATTCTAACCCTGTTCTTATAAACAAATGTCCCATTTAAACATAAATTAACATTGAGAAAGATGAAGTCACTCTATTTTAACCTGGTTTTTTTTCAATAACTAAGCCAGTATTTTGTATTTACCAATACTTGAAATCTCGAATAAGGGGCGCTATTACAGTATTAATTATATTTGTTCTGAAAATAATATTCTGGATTTTTTTTTAACTGATGAACAAGTTTCCTCCAGAATTATTGCGTAGATTAATCTCTAGCAAAAAAACAGTTGTTTACAGAATCTTTATCACACAGCAATCACAATATTTCACATAAGCAACAAAGAACGAAAATTTCTCTTAATGCATGTAAATTATAACAAACTACTCTATAGATTAACTCACTTGTGATGCTGTATATACCTGTAGCGGTAGTACATGTTTACTATATACCACAGAGATAATTATTTTACAACCTCTATTGAACTTCTCTGTCACAAGATCATCTTTGTCATAATTTGACTGAAATACATGACATGTACAGGTATTATGTTGACTAGAAACAGGTAATCTATTGCATTATAAACGAGGTTCACAAGCACTACAGAAGCAGCATTATAAACGAGGTTCACAAGCACTACAGAAGCAGCGTTATAAACGAGGTTCAGAAGCACTACAGAAGCAGCGTTATAAACGAGGTTCACAAGCACTACAGAAGCAGCGTTATAAACGAGGTTCACAAGCACTACAGAGATAGCATTATAAACGAGGTTCACAAGCACTACAGAAGCAGCATTATAAACGAGGTTCACAAGCACTACAGAAGCAGCATTATAAACGAGGTTCACAAGAACTACAGAAGCAGCGTTATAAACGAGGTTCACAAGCACTACAGAAGCAGCTAAATAATCACACAACCAACAACAACCAGATTAGGAAACGTACGATTGTTACCACTTTTCAGTTGTTTCCAAGAGCGGACTAACTTTCTCACTGGATACTGCAGTATCGCATAACGATATAAATTGTCAAATAATTCCTTTTTAAATTTAGTTCTCAATATTCAGGGAATACAATGAACACTTAATTGCATTTATTTTACTGTTAATTACAAACAGGTTTGTTTCACTGAATATGAAAACCATGAAACATGTTTTTTTTTAGCAAATAATATCCCTTCCGTAAACGTTGTTGTCAATATTAATTTGTGAAGAGGCATTTCAGTAAATTCAAAGACTCGAGGCTAAAATGTATAGCTTGGCTCTTAGTGACAACACAGAGTAGAACGTTGTCCCTTCAGTAAAAAGGTGCAATGTGGCACGTGACCGAAATTAATTCCAATTTAAATTGTAGCCAAATTGTCTTTGCATTAAATAACATCAATAGAGATCAAAATCTTACAGTTCCATATTAAAACCACTTGGTTCTGATGGGATGGCAACCTTTCAAATACAGCAAACAATCTAGTCAACTCTGGCAACACAATCAAAAAGATCAATTTTGTAGAAACAAACTATACAAACAAAGCAGCAACGAGAAACACTAATGAACAAACAGGAACACAAATCTGCACTGTATAAACATACAACTGCTGAACACAAAATACCATGCTGATCACTACAAATAGAAACCACTCGATGAACTTCAATCATCATGCTTGTAAATCACAGTCCTTCTGACGCGTCGCCCTAAAATCATGGGTCGGGGAGATCCCCAGCGACACGAAACCCGAGGTGTCTAAACACAATATTCTGTGTCCAGGTGTACAACAATATTCTTGGTCAGGGTATAATTACAATTAACTAATCAATTATAAAAGATACGACATTCTGTTTGAAGTATAAACGATGTTAAGATAAAATGTTTTGTGACGATTATAAAAGTGGAACTTTTTTATGGTGTGAATGCTGAAGTGCCGAAATATATGCCAAAGTATTTCTAAAAACCTGAGTTCTCGTGTCAAGCAAAGAACTTGTGTGCCTAGGCATGTTTGTACTTTGTGGTAAGTAGGAATGTTTGTGCAAAGGTATAAACAATGAGGTGCCCATGTGTGTTGGTACCGATGTGTGAATGAGGACACTCTCAGGTATGTACCAAGTCATAAATGTAGAAACAACTACGGATGTTCAGTGCCATGGTATAAACGACAGTGTGCTTAGATATGTTTTGAGCCAAGGTATGAAAGCTGTTTTACCAAGGTTTTGATTGTTCCAATTTATAAATGATAAAGTTCCAAGGTAGAGATGTATGTTTGTGCCAGGGAAACAAACCCGAGTTTTCTAGATTTTATACCACAGAATGCTGAAGTACCTTGGTATGTTTGGTTCAACGTATAAAGGATGAGATACCAAGGTGTAAGTTGTTCTCAAAGTAAAATTGATGAAGTAATTAAGCTGTGGTGATTTGTATATACTGTGCTGTACTAAACATGTGAGATTCTGTGAGATTTATGTTTACATTCACAGATGATAGTTCATGGAAGCTGGATTTAAAATACAGACATATCCTACTGCATATTTAGTTTCTAAAATCATTTAACAATATGTAAGTAAGTCTAATGCTTATTATCAATATATTTCAAATACTCAACATGTTCAAACAACAACCATGATCGTTTATGAATGGTTAAAACATCAACATTTAAAAAACAAGATGATTTTATCAATGTTAAACTTCATATTGTCATTGAAGTAGAATAACTTCATTTAGTAACCAATGATAAAAAACAATGACCGTATCATCAGACATAATAGCAAGGCTATCAACTCTAAAATGTGGTCAAAAACAGAGATTGAACACAGGACTGAACTTAACCACATACTACACACAGAAGTAGGCCTGCTTTACTTGTGTTCTACTAGTACTATTTTCTAATATTACCGTAAGAATGGCTCTAAATAAACAATGAAATAAACATCTTGTGTATAAAATGATAAATGTCAACGTCAATAAAATTACAAATACTGTAATTTTGGTTTAGTTTGGCAATCATTGAAATTTTATGTGGAAGTAAAGTGTAAAGATTTCAGAATAGCAGAACATCCATACATCTGTACATGTTTGTTTACACAAAGCCAACCAGGATATGTCTGTACACATTAACTTATGATGAAGTACACGACAGGAACACATTAGTGAGCTATGGATATGAAGGGAATGTTTGACAAGTTTAAAAAAAACACAAAAAAAACCCATGGCGATACTGTATGTAGATGGCTTATATTTCTTGCACATTTTATTATGCAAACTCATTTGTCAGTACTCATTCATGAGGAGAATATAATGTCTTTCGTCACTGTTATGAAGAAATACACAACACTGTCTAAACCGAACACCCCTGGAACCAATTAGTTCGACAAGTTTTCAGAGTTTTGTATTGTAAAGTTAACTTGTTACTCATTGTCTGAACCAATTAGTTCGACAAGTTTTCAGAGTTTTGTATTGTATAGGGTTAACTTGTTACTCATTGTCTGAACCAAATTGTTAGACTGCTTTAGAAAAATAGTCAAATTGTACAGAGTCTGGTTTAGATAGAGTGTGTTGTTATTTTAGCATGATTCTCAATTTTGCCATTGAAATTAAAATATATAGATAAATACATTGCAAAATACAAGTAATCTACAGTACATACTTTAACCTAATCCAGATGTCATACTCTGTTGCTCTATGTGCCAAGGGTAAACACAACAGTTATGTAGTTAAACACCTAGCATTACTACAGGGCTCTGTAGATTGAATACTGTTATTGTAGTAATGATACAAGACAGTGAACTACTTTCTGTGGCGCACACGATCTTCAGGAATTAAAATGTATACACCATATTTTACCGGTAATAAGTTCATGCTCAGTACTCATAAATCACGGCCATGCAGCAGTAGAGTAGGACAGTATGACATGTTGTTTGAATTAAACTTAGTACACAGCACACAAGGCAAGAAACCCTGTATAACATTTCTACGTACAAATGTATGTATTCATCAAGTTAGATTTTGAGTACATATACCCATGAGTAATGTTGAGCACAATCTACATCAATGATTATGCAAACTGTTATTTTTTGGTACTTGCGCGTAAAAATTATGAATTAGTGCAACATTGACTTAGAGTTTCTAGATTGCTGAGCACGTGTAATTGAAATGGTTTCTGTTGATAGGCATTCAATTTTGTATTTTCACCTTTACAATAATGATACATAATTTCAACATGAAAATAACACTTTCATAAAATTTACTGTGTGTCACCATAAGAAATTTCCAGCAAGGTATGCTATATATATAGAGACATATTATGCAAATAAATATAAACAAAATTCACTACAAACCCACGTAACAGTTGCTGCTTTTGGCCAGTGACCATTTGATTACATCTTGCGTTTTCATAGATTATACAGACATTAAAAAGATTAAAACAGAATTGGACAAAATCTGTAAATAGAATTTACTTATTACCAGTACATGTAAAAGTGATTTTATCATGGTGATGATGTTTATACAAATATCTATCATTCCTACATTGCAAATAGAAGAGAATAAATCATTATGCATAAACAAGAAGGGGAAATATAAAAAGTAAAACAACATTTTGTATTGCATACTTAATAATAAGGAATGGCACAACAAAATACGACCTATTCTAATTTACCTCATAAAATAGTAAAAAAATAATACAAAACACCGTGAAAGTGTAAATTTTTGTCATATGGAAATTTTCACATTTTCCCCCCATCAATTTAAATAGTTCAGTGTAGTAATGTTGACATACACAATTAATGACGCAAACATATCGACATGAGAAATTATACATACAACAATGTATATGTATATAGAATCATGTCATCAGGAGTGTTGATTATATATATACTTGTCTGATAACTGATACGTGTAACATGAAAATAAAACTAGGAAAAAATACTCGTGGTTAATGTTTCCTAATTTTAAATCATTACATATGACAACACAAATATTTGATAAGTTTATGAAGAACGACACAACAAATGTATGTTTCACCAGTACATTGAAACAAAAATACATGGAAATTTCCGAGCCGAGACTAGTTTGAAGTGTCAAAATGTGAATCAAAGTGTCCATACACAAAACTGTGCACTTTTACAGTACTTACAGCATCAACAAAATGTAAAACGAAGTCTCACAACAAATTTCTCTGTATAAACAAATAAAAAGTATGTTATCACCATATTGTACCTCTAAATTGACCAGAGACGGATTTCAACAGTTATGGTTCATTTTCCAATTGTGAGCAAATTACAATATATGAAAGTAATAGTAATAATTATTGACCAAAGTATGACCTAAATATCTTTTGTAAGGTATAGCTATCACGTGACAGTAAAACCTTATTATACTACCACTATTTTTCCAGAGAAATTTTGGCTGTATTTAGGGGTTTGGTGATATATTAAAGGAAATAGCTGAAGAAATTGTTAATAAAACAAATGAAAATGCGACCTACAGTTGAGCTGTAGAAAATAGAATGTAGGGCACTATATCAAGGTTTTACAGTATTTAGATAATGCTTTAATTTATGTTTGAGCACTATAACATGAGATTATTCTACGTTATATAAGTTTTCATTAAGTTTTCATTATTGATTTGACATTAAATAATCAAAGTACATTTAGTTCTTTAACACAATATATCTATACTGAATACTCTTTTAATATAAACATTAAATTTTATCAACAATGATAAACATAACTAATGTCTGTGTAATTGACACTCCTAATGTATGTGTGTTATCAACACGGCTACAGTGTGTAATCATCATGACAGCTACTGTGTGTAATGTGTAATCATCAACACAGCTACTGTGTGTAATGTGTAATAATCAACACACCTACTGTGTGTAATGTGTAATCATCAACACAGCTACTGTGTGAAATGTGTAATCACAGCTACTGTATTTGTGATAATCAAGGTAGCTATGGTTTGTGTAAATATCAACACAACTACTGTATTTCAAGGTAGCTATGGTTTGTGTTAATATCAACACAGCCACATCAATGAAGCAGGATATCAAGGCATGATTTCAAAACACAAACTAGTCGAAAAACACTCCACTTAAATTGTCTGGATACTTTGTATAAAGTTTGAATTGGAAAAAATAAATGATTGAATTCAGACAGGATATAATAATTATCATAATGTCAAAGGATAATGAAAATTACAGTTCATAAGTCAAAATGTAGATTGCTTCACCCCCACACATGTGTGTAAGTATGATCTGTCACACCTGTGTGTAAGTATTATCTGTCACACCTGTGTGTAGGTAATACGATGACCTGGCACCTGTTTGGTCCATTGGAGAGACTTATTGAACGTCCTGTAGACCTTTAATGACTAGGAAACTGAGATTTCTCCACATTTTATCCTGCGCTGTCATTCTATTGTGACATCTGATGACTTGAGTCATTTCCCCGTCTGCATCAAACTCATTTAAGATGGAGTTATCTTTCTTTGGAAGAAACCAGCTTCAAATCACCAAGATTTACAATGTTTTAATTTGGCACCACTCCAATCACGTTTATGGATGCTTAAGTTGAGATTGGATGATGAAGTTGAAATCTTGATTTGTGATAACCTTCAATAAAAGGTTGATGTTTCATGCAATTTTCAAACTCTGTATGGAAGTCGGGTCAGTCAGACGTTTGTTTCCTTTTTGACAGGGGCTGCATTATTGCTGCTGGACAGTGATATGGATGAGGGTGTTGACCTTGAACTTGGCCTTTTGGTTGGGACAGACTTCGGTGTCCTCTTTCTGGGAGGTGGAACAGGAGCTACATTTTCCTCCCGGTCCTCGGCGTTAGGCTGGGGAACGTTGACACCCATAGAGTTAAGTATGTTGGAGGCGGGGCCTGCCAGACCCTGCTGGGCACCAATAGACTCCAGCATGTTCTTCACCGTGTTTACATCTATGTTGACCGGCTGGAAATCGTCATCTTCGTCATCAATGTCTCTGTTAATGTTCTGGGATTTGTTTGTTGGCGTCTTTGGCTTCAAAATAAACACAAAAGCTTCATCATATACCATGAAAAAAGAATATGAGTATGGTAAGGACATATAAGGTAAATATTTTATATGCAAATGTATACCTTCTAAGAGTCAAATCTTATTTCATTATTGGAGTAAGATTACTGAGAGTTTTTGTATGATGACTATTGGTTGAGTGCTCAAGGGTTTTAACTATGAGTTATAATATATAAAAGACTTAATTCTCATAGTGTGAAATCACCTAACTACATACCTGTGTGTGTGGACCATTCTCTGCCTGTGGTTCCTTCTCAAAACTCTTGCCCACATTGGTGGGAGCCAGTTCACGGTCCATCAAGTCCATGTAGTCTTTAACTGTGGGCACGGCAGCTTTATGTTTATGTTTGGATGGCTTCCCACTTGGAGGTTGGTCATCAAAGTCCTGGTCCGAGTCTTCCCAGCCGTACTCACTCATGTCAGAGCTTGACCCACTGTCATTGTCATCAAACTCTGTAATAAAATATCACAGATTCTGTGTCAGTGCCCTGTGTCACAGATCTAAACATCAAAGTCTTCAAACACTGGTACAGCTTCACAGACTTAATTGTCAGAGCCCTGTGTCATCAAACTCTATAATCAATGCAAATGTAAGTGTCAATGCCCTGTGCTAATCCTATACTTTAAGGGAAACCTTGTGGAAAATCTTGTAATGAGGAACTTTAAAAACTTAAATCACCTGCTTGGTTCAATACCTTCCTCTTAAGTGTATTCTTATTCAAATTCACTGTTCATTTGATGTCTTTCGTGATCCTGAAGGAGACGCAGGGGTTTGACTGCAGGGCTACAATCTTTTAAAATATTTCAATGGAATTAGTCCAGAATAGTTTCCATTGATGTTTCTAATTTAAGAAACTGTCCTGCATCTTAACAAACCCTATAGCAACACTTGTGTTACACCATTCCATCTTGTATGATCAAGTGTGCATCAATCGTGTCTCAGTTTATGTTGGTCGTCTCCGAGAATGTGATATAAACCTAGTGCTATCAAACTTACCAAACATTTTCTGCATGGCTGATATAAACCCAGTACTGTCAAACTGGATATCATCGTCATCATCATCTTCACCTTCACTGAAATATTCCAACAGATAACAGGTCAAAAACTATGCTAAAGTGAGACTACAGATTTGGAGACTCTTTGTCCTGTACATATACCAGACATGTGTTTCCCATGTTGTACAGTCATGCTGAATATCAGTGTCTTACAACCACCTTCACTGCAGGCCTCTAGTTAGGGAACTACACTGGTCTAAATCACAGAAATAAACAATAGTTAAACAAGTTTGCTGTGAAGCTTTTGCACACCACTTTATCTTTTTAAGTATACAAATTCTGTACTATACTTATCACTGTTCCATCCAAACAGTTCTTAGTTAATTTGTACTTGATTTAGAACAATAACTCTGTTTTATTGTTGCATTCACAATGTTTGTTGTTTTTTGGCAGAAATCCCAGGTAAATGGCAGTAGATTGAGAGTTGATTATTATGTAAGTATGCAACCATCAGAAACTATACTCTTCAGGGTAGAGTACGGCTACTGTTCAGGGTAGAGTACGGCTACTGTTCAGGGTAGAGTACGGCTACTCTTCAGGGTAGAGTACGGCTACTCTTCAGGGTAGAGTACGGCTACTCTTCAGGGTAGAGTACGGCTACTCTTCAGGGTAGAGTACGGCTACTCTTCAGGGTAGAGTACGGCTACTCTTCAGGGTAGAGTACGGCTACTCTTCAGGGTAGAGTACGGCTACTCTTCAGGGTAGAGTACGGCTACTCTTCAGGGAAGAGTACGGCTACTCTTCAGGGTAGAGTACGGCTACTCTTCAGGGTAGAGTACGGCTACTCTTCAGGGTAGAGTACGGCTACTCTTCAGGGTAGAGTACGGCTACTCTTCAGGGTAGAGTACGGCTACTCTTCAGGGTAGAGTACGGCTACTCTTCAGGGTAGAGTACGGCTACTCTTCAGGGTAGAGTACGGCTACTCTTCAGGGTAGAGTACGACTACTCTTCAGGGTAGAGTACGACTACTCTTCAGGGTAGAGTACGAATACTCTTCAGGGTAGAGTACGACATATTCCTATGACATATTCTATTACTTTACAGCATACAAGTATTAAGCAGTCAATGGCCATGTGATTAATTTCCACATTATTTTCATCAAAATTACATTGAGTACCCACACAGGAATTTCTACTCCATCCACGCCTGATATTTTCTCTACGAAGGCCTTCATGCTGTCTGCAACCTTTGAAAGGTCGATTGGGTCTTTGCCATTAGAGGACTTTTCAGTGCTATTAGGACCAGCTTTCTTCCTCATCATGTCGTCCAAGGTCTCGGGTGTCAAATTCAGCCATCCATCATCTGTAACCATAGCAACACAGTAGAGTCTAGGTAACAGAATTTGATAATTATGGTAACAAACATAAACCGTTGTAGGGAAACCATGGCAACCAAACATAGACCAAATGTCTAATTGCAGAAAAAAACTTTAGTAACATCATTTTATTTTATTATGCATAGCAACACGATAGTTACTGTAAGTCGACAGCAACAAAACCTTTTTATTTAAGACAAAAATGCAAATCAGAAATGAATCCAAAATTACCATCAGAATTGAGTATATGTTATTCCAGTGGACTGATGATACAATTTTTTTTAAAAATTTTTTTACGGAAATTCAGTAAAACCTACCATCAGGGGGAGATAAGTCTGCTTCAGCTTTCCTCATGGCTTCGATGTCAAACTCTACAGAATCCAACAGCCTGAGGATCTCACCTCCTGTGTTCCTTTTGCTTCCCTCTCTACAATAAACAGCATTGTTACATTGACCACAAGCATTGGTAAAATAACTAGTCCCATTTATATTTTGTAAAACATGGAAGTCCATTATATAGCAAGTAGGCACATTAATAGTTCTACATATTGTTCCATTTACATTTTGTACAACAAGGTATAATCATTATGATAAGTTCTTTTGTTCCAACCAACACAATTTTCTATGTGACGTTTCGATGACTAGTACGATATGTACACTGTCACCTTCATCAGACAAATGACCAATGAAGCGTATGCACACAAAGGTGTAAAATGTGTACGAGTTGTCCATAAAATCGATGTCGATTTCGGCTACGCTGGAAACGTATGTTCAATAGTTGTTATATATGTACCGAAATGACTCAATTCAGCTACGCTTTGTTAACACTTGGTCATAGATGTGCGAGTGTCTTTGAGCCCCCTCGTCTCGATTTAGAACTGGCCCACTGCGGGCTCAAAGACTCTCGCACATTATATGACCAAGTGTTAACTCATTTTGGTACATATATAACTACCATTGTACATACGTTTCCAGCGTAGCCAATGTTGACATCGATTTTATGGACAACTGTACCCATTTTACACCTTTGTGTGCATACGCTTCATTGGTCATTTGTCTGATGAAGGTGAGTGTACATATCGTACTAGTCATCGAAACGTCACATAGAAAATTGTATTGGTTGTGTAAAAAGATCATTTCATAATCCATACTTACCAACCTGAAAAAATGTTTAGAAAAAGGTATAATCATATTTAAACTTTATATATTCAATATGATATGGCCTAACTTAAACCCCAACTTCCCCAAAAAATAGACAAAATCATAATTAGTAAATAATTTCGTAGATAAGACAAAACCAAAATACTAAGTGTAGGTATACAACTTCAGGGTGATTCTATCTTTGAAGTTTCAGAAAATTTGGTTGAACAATTAAAGTTGCTGCACAACATTTGGCTAATGATTTGTAGACAGGGCAAAACTCCTATAAAAACAGCCTGATGTATAAGAGGAAGGCCTGAAGATTCCCCTCTGAATGTCATTTGTTTACATGTTTATAATTGTACATCATATATACATACAACACACAAGGAATCACCTAGTTCTCACAAAGCAATAGAGCATGTTATCATGGACAAGTCAGAGACCAATAAAATCTTTTAAGGGTGAAATCATACTTTGATCAAAGACTCAAGTGAGAAAACACCTAGGTTTCTCATAAGTTGCTTGAAATTTCATATGTACATCATTTTTGTAAATGATTTACATTTTCCAAATAATGAACTGCTTAAAATCATAAATAAGTAAACATATTTAGAAGTCTCCATTGTATGTTCTTTTGTAAAGCATAGTTATGTCTGACTCCAGTGTTTTTTTTATCAACCAAAACTAAGTTAGGTAATCAATAAAAGCTTATGGTCCGTGAAAGTTAGGCAAGTTAACATAAATTATATACAACTAAACTTAAGCATATTAACAGCCATCACTAAGAACTAAATGCTTTTAAACATGAACAATTTCTTGCTTCACTGAAATGATTTAGTCATTAACATTAAAGTCTAATGAAGCGATAGAAGAAAGGTGAAAAGATGTGAAGAAATTATCTACACAGTACACACTTACAAACTAGTACCTGGTATATGTACCTTACCTGACACCTACTTCTAGTATAGCTTAAGTTACCTTAGGTCTTTTTCTAGTTAACAAGTTTGCTCTGCCTGCAGCTTACCTTATGTCTGCCTCTAAATTAATATCCCTTTGCAATAAAATATGTTGAAATGAAATGAAATGAAAATCATGTAAGTCTGCTTGTAGCTTACCTCAAGTCTGCCTGTAACTGGTCAGTGTAAAACTGTCTGGCATCACTCATTAACTGTTGGTAGAGTTTGGAACCCTCAATCTCCCCCTGAAACACAGGAAAGTCAATTACACCTGAAGTATAACATTCAAGGTCACAACAACACCTATTTATAACTTTCAAGGTCACAAGTGACACATACCTATAACATTCATGGTCATAAATGACAAATACCTATACCATTCAAGGTCACAACTGACACATACCTATAACATTCAATGTCATAAATGACAAATACCTATACCATTCAAGGTCACAACTGACACATACCTGTAACATTCAATGTCATAAACGACAAATACCTATACCATTCAAGGTCACGACTGAAACATACCTATAACAGTCAAGGTCACAAATGACAAATACCTATAACATTCAAGGTCACAAGTGACACATATTTATAACATTCAAGGTCACAAGTGACAAATACCTATAACATTCAAGGTCACAAATGGCAAATACCTATAACATTCAAGGTCACAAATGACACATACCTATAACATTCAAGGTCACAAGTGACACATACCTATAACATTCAAGGTCACAAGTAACACATACCTATAACATTCAATGTCACAAATGACACATACCTATAACATTCAAGGTCACAAATGACACATACCTATAACATTCAAGGTCACAAATGACACATACCTATAACATTCAAGGTCACAAGTAACACATACCTATAACATTCAATGTCATAAATGACAAATACCTATAACATTCAAGGTCACAACTGACACATACCTATAACAGTCAATGTCACAAATGACACATACCTATAACATTCAAGGGCACAAATGACACATACCTATAACATTCAAGGTCACAAATGACAAATACCTATAACAGTCAAGGTCACTAGTGACACATACCTATAACATTCAAGGTCATAAATGACAAATACCTATAACATTCAAAGTCACAACTGACACATACCTATAACATTCAAGGTCACAACTGACGCATACCTATAACATTCAAGGTCACAAGTGACACATCCCTATAACATTCAAGGTCACAAGTGACACATCCCTATAACATTCAAGGTCACAAGTGACACATACCTATAACATTAAAGGTCCCAAGTGACACATACCTATAACATTCAAGGTCACAACTGACACATACCTATAACAGTAAATGTCACAAATGACACATACCTATAACAGTCAATGTCACAAATGACACATACCTATAACAGTCAAGGTCACAAATGACACATATCTATAAGATTCAAAGTCACAGATGACATATACCTATAACAGTCAAGGTCACAAATGACACATACCTATAACATTCAAGGTCACAAATGACAAATACCTATAACATTCAAGGTCACAAGTGACACATACCTATAACAGTCAATGTCACAAGTGACACATACCTATAACAGTCAATGTCACAAATGACATACCTATAACAGTCAAGGTCACAAGTGACACATACCTATAACAGTCAAGGTCACAAGTGACTTTACCTATAACAGTCAAGGTCACAAGTGACACATATCTATAACATTCAAAGTCACAGATGACACATACCTATAACAGTCAAGATCACAAATTAGACCTAAGTGTAATATGGTGTGTCATAGTTGTACCAAAACTTGTTCCTAGAACACCAAATTGAACCAAACATCTGATACAAGCATTCAACAGAGGCAAACATCTTAAAGATATTATTATAGAGACTTCAGGCAATGACATATACTACATACACAAACAGGTTAAACAAACACGCTAGAAATATTTAGAAAAGGAGATGGAGAAAGGGGCTATTCTGACAGAAGAAAATAGTTACAGAGATAAAAAAGCTAACCTAGAAAAACATCCCATCAGAACCAAGTAATATGAGGACCAAAACTTACGTTAACCAAACATATATAATCATAGATACTGTAGTCTGACTGTCAATGAAAAACAATGTCTACCATGGATGTCCGGTACTCTAAATCCCTTTTCCAATCAGTAAGTTGGACAAATAGGGCTGTCAGTAAACAGGTATCTGGTTTCAGGTAATACATCATACTGTGTCAGATTCCATTTAATGTATTGGTCAAATACTGGTCAGCGACGGACAAACAACATTAGAACCTTACTCTATAGGTCTGGGGCAAACCATATAGCCAGTCTGAGTTGACTTTATTCATCTCCAAACCTCAGTAACAGCCGGATGGTAAAAACAAAGGAGACAAGCCTATCTCTACAGTAACATACTGCCCCCAGTACGACTACACACTTTACTGTGATTCTTAACTTCAACAACATAAAATGGTGGGATAGCTTACAACTCACAATTAGGCATTATTTTATTTTTCATATTAACATAATAAGTTTAGTCATTATTTTATTTTTCATATTAACATAATAAGTTAAGTCATTATGTCAATACAACCCCACCCCCACCCCAATTTTAAACAGCATTTAGTAATCACCTTAATTGTCCAATTAATTTCAAAAACAATTGGAAAAGAGTATTTTCAGTTATAACATACCTAGTAGTGTAATTCACAGTGCAGCCCCTGATAAACTTTTGCTACAAATTTTAGGAAGAAGCCTCTCTGAAGTTTATAGATATTTTCCCTTTTATCTTAGAAAAAATCAATCTTATTTCTGTTTTATGAAGACAAACTTCCTTGTGTGATTTTCCACAAACATCCCTCTTATATCAAGATCAACCTCTCGACTCCAACTGGTGATAACTAACATCCACGCACAGAATCTCCTTTATCTTTTTAACCAATTTGCTGTACTGAAAACCAGAACCAATTTTAATGAATTGTAGCTCTAAATTGATTTGACTTTCACAACACATGAAAGCAGAGTGTGTTGTATATATAGTGTTCCACTAAAATGTACGACCAGCACTATAATGTAACCATAGGATACTCACACTGTTTAAGAAACTAAATTATGATTAAACTGTATAAATAACTTCTATTTTTTGTTACTTCATTTTAACATTTTATTGTAAAACTGTACAATTTTGTATAACTATGCACAATACCGTATTACAAACCTAACACTACGTTACAATGCTAACACTCACAAATGCTATTACCACATGTAAGACAACATTGTATTACTAACACTACTATATTGGTTAATATGCACTATAATGTGTTCATAATAAGCCAGCAGAACATTTTATTACTATCATTGCAACATTGTATAACTAATATTTCAATGTAGAACTAACATAACAATGTATAACTAACAATACAATGTATAACTAACAGTGACACATCAATGTATAAACAGCACTACAATTTATAACTAACACTACAATGTATAACTAACAATACAATGTATAACTAACAGTGACACATCAATGTATAAACAGCACTACAATGTATAACTAACACTACAATGCATAAACAGCACTACAATGTAGAACTAACACAACAATGTATAACTAATGGTAACACAACAATGTATAAACAGCACTACAATGTAGAACTAACACAACAATGCATAACTAGCACAACAATGTAGAACTAACACTACAATGTATAACTAATGCTGCAATGTTTAAACAGCACTACAATGTATAACTAACGCTACAATGTATAAACACCACTACAATGTATAACTAACGCTACAATGTATAAACAGCACTACAATGTATAACTAACGCTACAATGTTTAAACAGCACTACAATGTATAACTAACAGTGACACATCAATGTATAAACAGCACTACAATTTATAACTAACACTACAATGTATAACTAACAATACAATGTATAACTAACAGTGACACATCAATGTATAAACAGCACTACAATTTATAACTAACACTACAATGTATAACTAACAATACAATGTATAACTAACAGTGACACATCAATGTATAAACAGCACTACAATTTATAACTAACACTACAATGTATAACTAACAATACAATGTATAACTAACAGTGACACATCAATGTATAAACAGCACTACAATTTATAACTAACACTACAATGTATAACTAACAATACAATGTATAACTAACAGTGACACATCAATGTATAAACAGCACTACAATTTATAACTAACACTACAATGTATAACTAACAATACAATGTATAACTAACAGTGACACATCAATGTATAAACAGCACTACAATGTATAACTAACACTACAATGCATAAACAGCACTACAATGTAGAACTAACACAACAATGTATAACTAATGGTAACACAACAATGTATAAACAGCACTACAATGTAGAACTAACACTACAATGCATAACTAGCACAACAATGTAGAACTAACACTACAATGTATAACTAATGCTACAATGTTTAAACAGCACTACAATGTATAACTAACGCTACAATGTATAAACAGCACTACAATGCATAACTAGCACAACAATGTAGAACTAACACAACAATGTATAACTAACAGTGACAAATCAATGTATAAGCAGCACTACAATGTAGAACTAACACAACAATGCATCACTAGCACAACAATGTATAACTAACAGTGACAAATCAATGTATAAACAGCACTCCAATGTATAACTAATAGTAACACATCAATGTATAAACAGCACTACAATGTAGAACTAGCAATAAATTATACTCATTGATATAACAGTTTTGATACACTTTCTAAATAAACATGTTTTGTTTTGAACCAAAACTAGCTAATCAGGTAAATAATTACACTCCTGTTTAGTAATGCAAAGCAAAAATTCACAATTTCACAGGCAAAATATTGAAAAAATCAATTAGGATTGAAGTGATTATAGCACAGAATGGGATCTGGTCTGGCTTAGGTATCCACAAGGGACAGTCAATAATGGACCGGCTGGTTGTCTTACGACCGTACACATAATTACATCTCACATCACGCAAGCGAATAAATAACGCGGAGAAACTTAAGAGGAATCAATATTGAGTTGTGAAACTAATAATGTGTCAAAACAAATCAAGTTAGAGGAGTCAGAGCTATGGTAGGGTATCCAAACTATATAGGTGAGGTTCCAGCCTGGCTTAAATCTCTCATGTGGTAAGCTATCCAAACAATATAGGTGTGGTTCCAGCCTGGCTGAAATCTCTAATGTGGTAGGGTATCCAAACAATATAGGTGAGGGTTCAGCCTGCCTTAAATCTCTAATGTGGTCGGGAATCCAAACAATATAGGTAAGGTTTCAGCCTGGCTGAAATCTCTAAGTGGTAAGCTGTCCAAACGATATAGGTGAGGTTTCAGCCTGCCTTAAATCTCTAATGTGGTCGGGTATCCAAACAATATAGGTGAGGTTTCAGCCTGGCTTGAATCTCTAATGTGGTTAGCTATCCAAACGATACAGGTGAGGTTTCAGCCTGGCTTAAATCTCTAATGTGGTAGGGTATCCAAACAATATAGGTGAGGTTTCAGCCTGGCTGAAATCTCTAAGTGGTAAGCTGTCCAAACAATATAGGTGAGGTTTCAGCCTGGCTGAAATCTCTAAGGGGTAAGCTGTCCAAACAATATAGGTGAGGTTTCAGCCTGGCTGAAATCTCTAAGTGGTAAGCTGTCCAAACAATATAGGTGAGATTTTAGCCTGGCTTAAATCTCTAATGTGGTAGGGTATCCAAACAATATAGGTGAGGTTCCAGCCTGGCTTAAATCTCTAATGTGGTAGGCTATCCAAACAATATAGGTGGGGTTCCAGCCTGGCTTAAATCTGTAATGTGGTAGGCTATCCAAACAATATAGGTGAGGTTCCAGCCTGGCTTAAATCTCTACTGTGGTACGCTATCCAAGCAATATAGGTGAGGTTTCAGCCTGCCTTAAATCTCTGATGTGGTAGGCTATCCAAACAATATAGGTGAGGTTTCAGCCTGCCTTAAATCTCTGATGTGGTAGGCTATCCAAACAATATAGGTGAGGTTCCAGCCTGACTTAAATCTGTAATGTGGTAGGCTATCCAAACAATACCAAACAATATAGGTGAGGTTTCAGCCTGGCTGAAATCTCTAAGTGGTAAGCTGTCCGAACAATATAGGTGAGGTTTTAGCCTGCCTTAAATCTCTAATGTGGTACGCTATCCAAACAATATAGGTGAGGTTCCAGCCTGGATTAAATCATTTAATGTGGTAGGGTATCCAAACAATATAGGTGAGGTTTCAGCCTGGCTTAAATCACTACTCTGGTTGGGTATCCAAACAATATAGGTGAGAATTCAGCCTGGCTTAAATCTCTAATGTGGTTAGCTATCCAAACAATATAGGTGAGGTTTCAGCCTGGCTTAAATCTCTAATATGGTAGGCTATCCAAACAATATAGGTGAGGTTCCAGCCTGACTTAAATCTGTAATGTGGTAGGCTATCCAAACAATGTAGGTGAGGTTCCAGCCTGGCTGAAATCTCTAATGTGGTAGGGTATCCAAACAATAAAGGTGAGGTTTCAGCCTGGCTTAAATCTCTAATGTGGTAAGGTATCCAAACAAAATAGGTGAGGTTAACGTTTCAACCAGCCTTAAATGTAGAGGTTACTGTCAGGTTGTATAGTCAGTATGATATATATCAGTACAGCATCTACCACAAAAGACATTGGAATGTGCATATCAATCTGATTAACAAGAGGTCCAATGGGCCTGCATCACTCACCTGGCACAACTCTCACACTTGTAGCATAAAAATGAAGCTACAAGCAAAATCTCAGTATCTATGACTCAGAAGTCATTTAAAAGAACCTGTTAAACATTTCAACACATTAAACCCCATATGACCTTAGAAGTCGAATAAGTCCATTACACTTTATAGCTCTTCAACCCAGCACATAACCAGCCAACTATCATTTAAAGGTTTCTATACATTTAACCATATATGACCTTGAAAGTGGGTCAGGGTCATTCATTTGAACAAACTTGATATCTCTTCATCTGACCATGCTACATGCCATCCTCGATATACAGGGGATACGCTCACTTTCACTCTCTGGAATATGTCATAGCAAAATTGAGGGCAAAAAGATAGCTGTTTGATAAGGTAAAAAACACCTCACCAATCGCTAGGCTGATACCTGTCCTTTTGAAGATTACAAAGGAGAGACGCCAGACTTCAAAGCCTGTCAATTTTTACCGTTACGTGACCGGGAGATTCTTTTGATGTCCATCAAAGGATCAAACTAGTCTTGTCTCATCAACAAGATGGCGCACACTGAGCCTTCAATTTTGCTATGACATATTCCAGGAGTGTAGAGGGCGAAAGTGAGCTTAACCTCTGGATATCGAGAATGGCTTCATGCTAAATATTTCCACCCTATGTAATTCGGTTATTCTTCGAATTTGTTTAAAGTTTTTATATATTTGACCCCTGTGAACTCATATATGAGTCAAGGTCATTCATTTGGGAAAAAACTCCTTAGACCTTCATTGCAGCACCTTACTGGCTAATTATCAACACCCTAGGCCTTTTGGTTAATCAGAAGAAATTGTTTAGATTTTAAACATGATTGATCCCTGTGACCTTGAATAAAAATCAAGGTCATTCATTTGAACAATCTTGATAGCTCTTCATCGGACCATGCTACTTGCTAAATATCATCACCTGATGCCTTTAGGTTATTCAGAAGATGTTTTAAGTTTTAAACATATTGACCCCTTCGACCTTGAGTATGGTTTAGGTCACACATTTGAACAAACTTTGTAACCCTTTATCCTTGCATGCTAATAGCCAAATATCACCTTGGTTCTTTCGGTTACGCAGAAAAAGTTGTTTGATCCTTTCTCCCAACATTTGTCCCCAGTGACCTTAAAAGTGGGTCAAGGTCATTCATTTAAACAAACTTCCTAGCCCCTTCATCCGATCAAGCTATTGGCCAAATATTATCACAAAAGGCCTACTGGTTATTGAGAAGAAGCTGTTAAAGAAAACAAATTGATGCTGGACCGACGGACGGACAACAAATGATGCACCATGAAATAAGCTCACTTGGCCCCTTTGGGCCAGGTGAACTGAAGATAAAACATAAAGCTTAAAAAAAATCTTACTACAACATTTCAATAGTCCATACTAAACACTTTTATCAAAGAGTACAACAAATACATGCTGTAGAAAGGGCTGAACTCCTAGGGGCAGAAACGACACCAAGAACATAAATGTATTCATTTCTTCAAGTCCACCTATTAGGGTAGGGTTTCTAATTCTTTCCATGCTATTACTTGGGTAGTAAATACAAAGCAGTTAGGCAGGATGTCAGCGCCAAATCCTAGCAGCATACGGACATTCATCTCTTCATGGCCAGCAAGCGTATATCTGGTTACAGGCTTTGCATCTCAACCGTTTTTATGTTATGACCCGAAAAATAAACCCCCAGAGGAGAGGCTGGACCCCTCAGCCAATCCAGGTAGTATGAATGAATTTTCCCCGTTAAAGCTAGCAACTGTATATAAAGCTTGAAGGAAGGGAAGTTTCCATGTTATGACCCAGGGAGTAGATCAAGGTCATTTATTTCACAAACTTTGTCGGGTTTAAACCACAGAAGCTTTCACCCAAATGTCAGGACTCTACGTTTTTCAGTTCTTCAGAGTTCATTATTCGATGTTGTGACCTAATATTTGATCCCTGTGACCTTGAATGTGGGTTAAAGTCTTCTTTTTTTTTATATGCAAATTTTGTTGGTCAACCCAACAGGAAGCTACCAGCCAAATCTTATGAATCTAGTTCTTTTAAGGTTCTTCAGAAAAAGTAAGCTGAATTTTTCGAGATACTTGAAATTTTGATATTTGACCCCTGTGACCTTGAAAGTATATCAACATGATTTTTAGCTCACAAACTTTGTTAGGCACCACCATCCAAGGAAGCTACCAGCCACATATCATGACTTTAGGCCTTTTGGTTTTTCAAAAGTAATTTGAATGTTAAGTTGACGACAGATAGATGGACGACAGATATTGATCTGTATCCTTACAAAGTTTTATCAAATTTTGTTCATTCCTTTGAAAATACCATCTAGAAACCGTGATCTCGACATTGTCTATGCTAACACCAAATAGTGTGGTACAAAAAAGATTATGTAAACAGCAAGACTTAGTATCAGATCTGGCTTATACAGGCTGAACTTACATGCTACTGTTGTAAGGTAGGACTAATATTAAGTCTGTTGGAATTTCTAGAAATATTTCAGATGACATCCATATTTGTTTAATTTCACATTTATTTTCATGAAATTTAACTTAAAACTTTTACAATGTTAAAATAACAGCCATAACTACTCCTCACATTTTCTTTTTATAAACACCTTTTTTTTTGTGTGGACAAAATTCAGTTTATTATTTGTAAAGTGTCGCTGTTAGAGTGAAGCAAACTGACTCACCCTGAAGAAGCCCCGTTCTTTAAGAGATTGTAGGTATCTGTTCCATCGCATGTCATTGTCCTGGGGAGCACACTTGCTGTTTCCCGCCTTAGATTTGTTTGAAGAGCATCTTGCACATAAAATCTCAAAGCCATGGGCCTGAAAATAAAGCGGCACATTATTGGTACATTTATCTACTAATATAGCAAGGAAGAACTCTCAATGAGGTTATTTTTAGTTGGCATGTTTTACTGTATACAAAGTACAATGAAACTTGTCTAAACTGAACACTAGAGAACATATTCTGTTTGTTTTTGTTCGTAATAGAGAGGTTTTACAACCAGACATGTTCTATGCACATAGAAATGAGAACACTATGACCAGGAATAAAATCTGATTTGAATGGGTTTCTTGTACATAGAAATGTCTACTTTTGGAGGTAACATAATATCTAAGTTTCTTTTACAAAGAAATCAATACAGTGGAACCTAGCACAAGATGTAGTGACCAGTGACCAGTCAAACACATGCAGTTTTGTTGATCTAAAAGTCTAGTATCAGTGGCAATGTTGTTTAATAAACTGTCTTTAACAATTAACGCCTTCTTAATAGTGAGATCAATAAACAAGATTAATACAAAGAACGTACCAGCTTCATGCCAAGGTCATGGGCCTTGTACTTGGGGTTAATGGAACTAGGAAGGACCCAGCCACTGCGTTTGTCTGGCTGAAACTTCTGCTGCATCAGCTGGGCATACAGACACCGTGTCAATTTCACCTGCAAAAAACCACACTCAAATCTCGGACAAACATAAAATCATCCTATTGGTAAATATTTTTGTTGCAATGGACACTATAACAATGTGACAAAGGGCCATTTTTTAACTGTAATACCTACAACAATCACTTAAATAAGACCATTCAATGAACAAATGGTCCAAAGGGCCTGTATTTGTTAATGAACAGTGTATGTTTTTTATCTTTGCAACTTTAAAGCCCTCCAGGATAGCATTTTGAATGAAACCCCTATTTGGTATATTTAATGGAGTTGACAATGTATATAGCTTGTTACTATATATGATTCAAGTGAATGGTCTATTTATTACTAGCCATGTATATGAAAACAGTAAGGCGTTTTATGTGACCATATTAAAGCCCTGTATGTGAGCATTTTTAATAGCATATTAACAGACTATGAAATATAAAACGCAGCAAAAATTCCAACACAAACATTTTATCACTTATACAGTATAAGTACCCTGTACATGTACGTAACAGACTCTCCAGTCTGTGTGTTTTATACCTACCCTTGAGATGTATATAACAGACTCCCCAGTCTGTGTGTTTTATACCTACCCTTGAGATGACTCGTGTCCCTGGTCGGAAATATTGCATAGTTCGACATGACTGAAATGACCAGCAAAAATAAAGAGTAAATAAATATGTCTCTGAATGTCAAGACTTGATTCAGATAACATTCCTCAGTAATTCTACTTTCAAATTCTTGTTCGAAACAAAGTGATAATTGTGTCCCTGGTAAGAAAAAGTCTTATGAACATCAGAATCTATAAGGTTAACCAATATAGATAATTAGTTTAAGGTCCCTGGATTGCATAAAATATATTTCTGTATTCAAAAGCAGTTTTGACATCACAAAATAGAGGTGACACACCATCTAAATCATCTAGTCATATTCAACATTTACATCGCCTGATTAAGTGTCCAGCCACCTGATTAGGTTGTTTTCTCGCAATGTTACCATACACCCACCATGACCCGACAACAAAACGTCAGTACTCCTTGATCAAAGTTAACTTCCCTCATCATCATTATAAACATTAAAATAAATTATGTTTAGACAAGATGAATCTTACCCGTAGGTCAATAGGATCTCTGTAGTAGAAAGCCAACACCCCTTGGGAAACCAAATGGGGTCTTTTTTCCAAGATGGCTGCCAGGTTGGCAGGGATGTAGCAGTGTGCATAGTGAATATTTTCTTTGGTTTTAGCTGGAAACCTTGCAAAAGAAGTTGATAATGGTAAAATATTACAACAATGGATATTCTATCAACAACCCATGTCACAATCAGCTGATCTACCAACAACCCATGTCACAATCAGCTGAGGTCGCTCTATGATACTCGGTTCAGAATGTACACAATATGTTTTAGCTATCAGAATCAATGAGACCATAACACTTCAGCACTGGAATTCCTATAAACATGAGATTTAGTGTGAAGATTCTGACCTTAGTAGAGAGAGGCTTGTGTGGCTCTGTAATGAAATAGTGGTTATTTATACACTAGGAACAGATTCACTGATACATATTGCAAAGGCTGTTGTTAATATGAACTTATAATATGAACTGCCAGCTTGTGACACCTCCAGATTAACTTGACGTATCCACACCAAACCTTAAGCTTGTGGCTACACTAAGAGATCAACAAGAAGCAGATCACCTTCAGTTTAATCTCTCATAGCTTTCACATCATAGAAATACGTCATGCTATTTCGTTACTTTTTTTACGTTTTGAAAACCTAATGAAGATAAAGGCATGTAAAAACCTGCACTCTACACTGATTGATTACACACTAGATGTTGGGTGATAAGCTTACACCTGACCGAGACCACAGAATCAATGTAAGACCTACTCATTGATCCGTGTCTGTACGGCCTGCTGTATACTAGCCGAGGCTACGGCTGCAGGGGAGCAGGTCCGCACACACTGGACAGCGTCACTGATGGACGGCACCGACCCCGGCAGGCTTGTGATGTCAGCGGGGGACTGGGGCAATGGGATAATGTGTAGTTGTCCATTGTAGATATACACCTAGAGGAACAACCATCTATTAATGTATTTTATATAAATCATATGTATTACACTTCTATACTCCTCTATATAACAAAGGTCAAGCTTTTATGTATTCCCCAGTATATAGTAAATTTTTAATTTACTATATCCATGAATACCTTCTTTCTATCAACACATTGTTCTCACTGACATACTGTATATGCATCCTTTTTGACATTTCTTCACCCAAAAGGAGCTTATTGTGAATTCAATTATAAATCTAGTAATGTTCAATTTTCATTTTCATGTCTTCAAGAAAAATGAGTTCTTCAAATGCAACACATATTTTAAAAAAACACCATTTTCAGTAATTTTCAGGTTTCACTAAAGCAAGCTTCCAGATTGCCCAGGGTTAGTGCAAAATAATTGAAGTACGTGTACAGTATATCTTTTTTTATCAAAACAGCTGATATGGCTTTAACAGTTCTGTCACTATAAGTCCCGTTTCCTCTAGTCCATTACTAGTATACCATGTTCATTATACTTCTTTATGGTAAATAGATGTTATTCTATATATATTTGTATATAATTTAAGAGTGAATATCCATCAAGGTCAGTTTACAAAATGTGATTCCCCGCTATAGATTAAGATAGCTTGATTAAAGTATAGCCACATCATATTGACAATCTCTGTTTTCACAGAACCATGTAATCAAGAGAAAAAAAGACTGTAAATGACATGAAAACACCTATCAGCCATGTCAGTATGCCTACAGTATGAAAAACAGATAGATGGATAATATAGTCTTGTGACTTAATACAATATACCCAACCATACCATCTGTTTAGAAAAAATATATCAATTTTAACAGTGTAGAAACATGTTTATGACAAATAATTCCCTGAAACTCATTCTGTGACCTTGATGTGTTGCATTTTAGATTTATCAAGACGTCATTCATTTTAGAAAAACAAGTTTGTCTGGTAGATATGGAGTACAGTTTCTGTGATATTTAAAGGGTTTATTATCATTTTGCAAAATAGTTTTTCAGAATTCATCAAAATGGAGTACCAATTCATAAAACTTTGTATTAATGATTTTTTTAAATTGAATATTTGTGGATGGAATGGAACTTTAATACTCATTCATATACAAATCTTACTCTGTTTTCAACAGTTTCAGGGTCAATCCACTTGGGCAGAACATCAGCAGCTTCAATCAACATAAACTCCTCATCATTATCTACGACCCTACAACAAAAACATGACTTATAAACCTACATCATTATCTATGACCCTACAACAAAACATGACTTATAGACCTACATCATTATCTACGACCCTACAACAAAACATAACTTATAGAACTACATCATTATCTACGACCCTACAACAAAACATAAATTATAGACCTACATCATTATCTACGACCATACAACAAAACATGACTTATAGACCTACATCATAATCTACGACCCTACAACAAAACAAGACTTATAGACCTTCATCTTTATCTACGACCCTACAACAAAACATAACTTATAGAACTACATCATTATCTACGACCCTACAACAAAACATGACTTATAGACCTTCATCTTTATCTACGACCCTACAACAAAACATAAATTATAGACCTACATGATTATCTACGACCCTACAACAAAACATAACTTATAGGCCTACATTATTAACCACGACCCTACAACAAAACATAACTTATAGACCTACATTATTATCTACGACCCTACAACAAAACATAACTTATAGACCTACATTGTTATCTACGACCCTACAACAAAACATAACTTATAGAACTACATCATTATCTACGACCCTACAACAAAACATAACTTATAGACCTACATTGTTATCTACGACCCTACAACAAAACATAACTTATAGAACTACATCATTATCTACGACCCTACAACAAAACATAACTTATAGACCTACATTATTATCTACGACCCTACAACAAAACATAACTTATAGGCCTACATTATTAACCACGACCCTACAACAAAACATAACTTATAGACCTTCATCTTTATCTACGACCCTACAACAAAACATAAATTATAGACCTACATCATTATCTACGACCATACAACAAAACATGACTTATAGACCTACATCATAATCTACGACCCTACAACAAAACAAGACTTATAGACCTTCATCTTTATCTACGACCCTACAACAAAACATAAATTATAGACCTACATGATTATCTACGACCCTACAACAAAACATAACTTATAGAACTACATCATTATCTACGACCCTACAACAAAACAAGACTTATAGACCTTCATCTTTATCTACGACCCTACAACAAAACATAACTTATAGACCTACATTGTTATCTACGACCCTACAACAAAACATAACTTATAGACCTTCATCTTTATCTACGACCCTACAACAAAACATAACTTATAGACCTACATTGTTATCTACGACCCTACAACAAAACATAACTTATAGGCCTACATTATTAACCACGACCCTACAACAAAACATAACTTATAGACCTACATTGTTATCTACGACCCTACAACAAAACATAACTTATAGGCCTACATTATTAACCACGACCCTACAACAAAACATAACTTATAGACCTTCATCTTTATCTACGACCCTACAACAAAACATAACTTATAGACCTTCATCTTTATCTACGACCCTACAACAAAACATAAATTATAGACCTACATCATTATCTACGACCATACAACAAAACATGACTTATAGACCTACATCATTATCTGCGACCCTACAACAAAACATGACTTATATCAGTATCAGTATTATTGAACATGGCACATATTTAATGACAATGTCAGATGAATGTGTGAACCACATCACACCTAGTAGTGAAAATAAACCATTTTTTTCAACAACAGTAAACCTTTGAGTCCAAAAACATGTTAAATACATGTTTGTATACTTTTTAATGTATATATTCTGCATAATCTAATGTACCATGTACAGTTACACACGCTAGAACAGGCCAGAATGATCTATTTGAAAATTCCTTAACTTGACTGATAACATATTTATACCTTTACGTAATTACAATTGAACGCACCTGGCAATAAGCCCAGAAAACTGCTTGGTTAACTTGAACAGCAGGTAAACAATAAACCACTCATCGTCAATGTTATCGCCAAAACTCGTTCTTCCGTACAGGTGGGCGGGAAGATCACCTGTCAAATACAGACATTATTATGTAATGATTCACCTGTAATTCTGCATGTTCTGTCTGTGACATAAAACCTAAACAGCATGTATCAATGTCACAACACCTGTTCATTACAGGATATGGGACCATGAGGCCATGTCTCAATTTTACGTTCTGCTGCCATTGTAAGGAATTAGGGTAAATACAGATCTTCTCTAAAAAACTCCATTTCATCTTGGGATGGTTTTTGTCAATGAAAACACTTCAAACATTTTTTTAAAAATATTAATATTTATCTACAATGTTTTTATATCTAACTTTGCTAAAAACTAGGCATGTCAGTCCCCAAACTACCAAATTAAATGGTGTCATTTTTTGACAAAAATCTATAAATGGAAATGGTCAATCTGATTAAAATCATATGGTACATGGCTTCGTTAACTTCGTACTACGCCTGAACATCTGAGTGTGCCGCGGTCAGGGTCACGTTTAGGTGACCTTTATATCTATAAGTACTCATTAAATTTTGACCAATCAGAGACCCTCTTTCAAAAGGTCGCTCAGAGTTGTAACAAATATGTTGGACATTGATGAGAATGATGCGAAAGTTATTTGAGATTGATCGTCTGAAACCCGAACAGAAAAAAAAAAATGAAGCTTTATTAGAGAAGAAAGACTGTATGGTGGTGTTGCCTACGCAATTATTACCCAATGGGTACGTTTTCCTTGGCGTCGTAGAAACGTCAGTTCCCGCCGCTATATTTGTTTTGGAAAACTAATATGTTTGATACCCCTCGCTATTTATGTATCAACCATGATATTCCGATTCGCTAGCAAACTTTTGCCAGCGCGCCTCTGATTGGTTCATCTAAAGGTCACTTGAACGTGACCCTGAACGCGGCACATTCAGATTTTCAGGCGGAGCCATGTAACAGATGATTTTAATCAGATTGGGAAATGGTAATCTTGGCCTTGACCTTTGGTTCCTGAAAAAGTATTCAGTATTAGAAAAGTCACAAGTATTAATTATACAGTAATTGATGATAATTACTATGTTAATATCTTACAACATGATGTCTATTTTTATTAGATATCAAATAACCTGACTTTTACTTCATGAGATTTGAATAAAAGTGTACATGACTGCACCATTAATGACACTGGGTTATTTGATCAGATGTAAGACTGACTGTAAACAAAAGAACTCTTTTGTGAAGCCTTTAAATCAGGTCAGCTATTACATGTCTTTTATTTAGGCACGAATATTGGTGAAGTCAGATTTTACTGTCATCCAAACATCAGTTTTCAGCACATGCAAAATCTTCGTGTATCAGAAGTATGAACCAATTATCAGAAACAAACCGTCTATTAATATAAAACTTTAAATGTTTTTTTACGCTTCCCAGCAGATATAGTGGAGACTCAACTCTAAAGTCATATCAAGGTCAAACTAAAGAAGAATCCATGCCCCACCAGCAATGCATTAACTATGTGACAAACACTACTGACATGGGATCAAATCTGTTAGTTAACATGCACACGTATATCGATTGCTATCTCGGGCGCATCCCAACACAGCTGGCTACCGATACCAAACACAACATCTTTTTAACAAATTCAATTTAGAAAGTTTTGTATTATCTTTTTAGTTACTTATAGACAGGAAAAATCAATACAAATTGCCCTGTAACCCAAAAGTCTATGGAACAGAGCGGTGAGGGATTTCACTGGGTTCAACCGATTTATTAGAATAAATCTCAAAATCGGAATCCATACACATTGTAGGCATTATATACAGCACAGTAAATTCAACATTGTCACTATCCTCAACAATCAAACTTTGTAACTGGCATTGGGGTGTTTTTTGTTTCCTTGTGTTGGGATTTATTCTCCAATTTAAACAAGGATGTGGATGCGTGGTTACCGGTGGTGCTTCAGTTCCGACTTATATTTTTCTTGTGGAAGATTTTTTCCCCTACATTCACGACACGGAAAATGAAAAATATGAACCCCTGGATAATCATTTTGATACAGTAGGATAAGTTAGGACTGTTGACTAAAACCATAATTGTGGACAATAAGCCCGCTTCTGGTAATAAGTCCATCCATATCTATTGCAGTTCAGTAGAATTTCAACAAATCCAACTTCATTGTCCTGTTATAAAAGACCGCTCCCTACTTCAAATCAGAAACTGTGTGTTGGCCCCCTGGACTTATTGCAGGATAATTATGGTAACAGTATCACATGGAATTAAAATATTTTTTACCAAAACAATTTCATAAAACTTTGAAATTGAAATGCGTAATAATTTACATTGATGACTTCACCAATTGCTGTGTACGCAGTCATTCAAAATGGACATGACATAAGATTCTACACAATTTTTCCTCAGCGAGACTGTAGAAAGGCAGGAGCCGGAAAATAGTATTGTATAAAATTTGCTTAAAGTATAATACATCTCAGTATCACATCCAAGGTCAGCATTCCAAGGTTTCTCAGCTTGATTGAAAAAGCCATGTATAAAGATGTATACTAAAAAAAAAAATCCATCTACTGTTGAAATACAACCATGAAAGCTACATATACATTTTGAAGGAAGGACAGTTGAATCATAAAACATATGGGACGACACAGAAGCAATTGACTGGGTGTGATAATAACTTTGTCAAGATGATATAGATCAACTCTCCCTCCCAGGCCTATCTGTCCCCCGACAATACTTCAGCACGGCATTAAACATCATCCAAACTCGCCAACAACCAATTATTATACCTCAATAACGTTCTATTCATTTCTTTCAGAACAGCGGAATAAATTAATTTGAAATCCGATAAAAAGCAAAAAATCAATGCAGGTACAACATTTTCCATTCGTTTTGTTGTTTAAGAATATTGACATTTTAATATCATAGAAAATTAACTTGATTGACTCGAAACCAACTTTAAATATTCCTTCTGGTATTTTATTTCTTCAATAAAACATCAAACTATTTAAATGGTTTTTAAATTTGTATGTATAAATATTATACATGTTTTACTGTATTGTATAGGACCATTCTTTCAACTTATCCTACGAAATGAACATTAGCGTGATGTAATTTGCAGCCCACAGATACAGAAGGCCTGCCACACTGTAATGACCTTTCCTAGAGCCAGTGGCATATGACCTTTGGACACTTGACTGTTGAACTACCCTAAAAAAAGCTTAAGACTGTCTGGGGACCCTGATTAGGAGTACAGGCACACTAACAGAGGACACATGCAATGTGACGTGATCCTCACCACAAATCAGGAAATAGGAACCTGTTCATTATAGCTACAGTTTTAGATCTCCGACAGGTTTAGAAGGATGCGCAAAGACCCACAACTCCATTCAGTTGGGTGGTCTGGTGACCTAATGGCCTCCAAGTGTTCTTTCTGTCAACACACCGGACTTGTGTAGGCTTGTAACCTATGCTTCTCATTTCATTAGAATTTTAGTACTGTAATAAGTACAATCAAATCGAACACCATACAAACACATTTTACATGTAGATTTGGATTACCCGGTAAGCAGGATTTTAAACTATAAGTATATAGAATAGAAACCACTATTTGTATAGCAATATTTTGCAGTCATGAAAAGAGTTTTATGATATATTGAGGTTAGATATACATACAAGAGGCCCAGATGGGCCTGTATCGCTCACCTGGTATTAATCTCACAATTGTAACCTTAAGAGTGGACTAAAATAAAGCTACAGGCAAAATATCAGTGTCTTGACTTAAGTCATTCAAAAGAACCTGTTAAATAATTAAAACACATTTGACCCCTGTGACCTTAGACATTAAATTGAACAAACTCTATAGGCTTCATCACAGAATGCAACTTGTCAAACATCACCCTAATGGCCCTATACCTTTTGCTTAGTGAGGTGAGGTTTTTTTTAAGATTTATGCACTTTGGACCAGATGTGACCTTGAAAGTATGTCAAGGTCATTCACATGAACAACGGATCACCCTGGAACCTTAAGTTATTCAGAAGTTGTTTTTAAATGTTTTTAAGACAAATAACCCCTGTGACCTTGAATATGGGCGAAGGTCATTAACTTAAACAAACTTGGTAGTGTTTCCTCCCAGCATGCTACTGGCCAAATATCATCAGCATAGGCCTCTTGATTATTTAGAGGAAGTTGTTTAATAGTTTAAACATATTTGACCCCTGTGACCTTGAAAAGGCCCAAAGGTAATTAATTTGAACAAACTTGAGAGCTCTTCATTCAAGCATGCTACTGGCCAAGTATTATCAGCCTGGGTTTCTTTGTTATTAAGAAGTTGTTAAAAAGTTTTTAACATAAATGACCCCTGTGACCTTGAATATGGATCAAGGTCATTTCTTTTCCCAAACTTTGTTGGGCTTCATCCTAGGAACCTATCAACTAAATATCACGCTTCTGGGCCTTTTGATTAATCAGAAGAAGTCGTTTGAAGGTTTTAACAAATTTGACCCCTGTGACCTTGAATATGGATCAAGGTCATTTCTCTAGGCAAACTTTTTTGGGCTTCATCTTAGGAACCTATCAGCCAAATATCACGCTTCTGGGCCCTTTGGTTAATCAGAAGAAGTCGTTGGAAGGTTTTAACAAATTTGACCCCTGTGACCATGAATATGGATCAAGGTCATTTATTTTCGCAAACTTTGTTGGGCTTCATCCTAGGATCCTATCAGCCAAATATTACGCTTCTGAGCCTTTTGGTTAATCAGAAGAATTTGTTCAAAGGTTTTAACAAATTTGACCCCTGTGACCTTGAATATGGGCAAAGGTCATTTCTTTTCGCAAACTTTGTCAGGGTTCATCCTAGGAATCTATCAGCAAAATATTACGCTCCTGGGCCTTTTGTTAATCAAAGGAAGTCGTTTGAAGGTTTAAACAAATTTGACCCCTGTGACCTTGAATATGGGCAAAGGTCATTTCTTTACGAAAACTTTATCAGGCTTCATCCTAGGAACCTATCAGCTGAATATCACGCTTCTGGGCCTTTTG